AAATAAAACATTGAAAATATTTTCTGTATCTTTTTAGGTAATAATGTGTTTTTTTCTCATTTAAGTCATTAATGTGGTCAACTTACAATGATATGTTTTCAGGTGTTGAACATATACCCTTGATTTTCTGTTCTCATAATAAACCAAAATAGATAACAATTTAGTTTCTATGAGAGAAACCCTTGGAAGCAGTTAAATTTTTTCATTTAAGACTATAAATTTAGGCTAAAATTATAATTTCTTCATTGTTCTTTATATTTTCTTTTTTATCTCAGGCTACAGCATAATACTTTTTAAAGAATTTGTATTAGATACTTTATTTTCATAAGTGGTGAATAGTACTAACAACTTGTGTAAAATCTGGCATATTTGACACTGTGGGAATATGGGAGTGATGGAAAACATTTTTTGATAACTTTTTCAATTTTTAGTTTTTTAAATATTTATCTACTCATTTTATTTAAAAGGTATAGTGACAGAGTAAGAAACAGAGGGCAGGGGTGGAGAAAGAGAGAGATTGATCTTGCATCTGCTGGTTCACTCCCCAAATAACTACAATGGCCAGGGCTGGTCCAGACCAAAGCCAGGAGCTGGGAATTCCATCTGGGCTTCCCTTGTGAGTGGCAAAGGCCCAAGTATTTGGCCATCATCCACTGCTCTCCCAGGCATATACTCCCAGAGCTGAACTGGAACAGAGTAGCCAGGATTTGAACCAGTGCTTCCATTTGGGATGCTAATGTTGCAAGTGGTAGCTTAACTTGCTGTGCCACCATGCTGGCTCCAAATTTTAAAAGTTTTAATCTGTTCAATCTCTGTATTTGCTACACAAAATTTGCAAGTCATAGTTTTTTCCAGAAGTTTCTCTATATCTAGGTTGTCTAATTTATTATTTTCATAACATTCTTGTATGATTTTCACAACTCAATTATATCTTTAATTTCCTTTTTCTTTTTTTTTTTCTTTTTTAAATATTTTTTGAGAGGTAGAGTTTCAGTCAAAGAGTGAGAGACAGAGGGAAGAGTCTTCCATCCACTCCCTAAATGGCTGCAATGGCCGGAGCTGGGCGAACCCAAAGCCAGGAGCCAGGAGCTTCTTCTGGGTCTCCCGTGTGGGTGCAGGGGCCCAAAGACTTGGGTCATCTTCTACTGCTTTCCCAGGACACAGTGGAGAGCTGGACTGGAAGAGGAGCAGCCAGGACTGCCAGCACCACAGGCAGAGGCTTAGCCTACTGCACCACAGTGCCATCAGCCCCCTTTTTTTTTGTTTTTTAATAAAACAAAATAGTTTTCTATTTCCTGCTTTTTGTTCCTTCCTCTGATGAGGGTTTGTTTATCTTGTTAGACTTTAAAAAGAAAACAGATTTTCACACTGTTGGTGAACTCCCTTGTTTTCTCTCCAAGGCACTGATTTCTGCCGTGTAAGTTTTGTTCCAGGAGGGAGGTTGGGAGTCAGGGACGGACCACGCTGTTGAGGAGGGAAGGAGAGGAGGGATTGCTCTTGCTTCGCTCCTACCCCATCCCTCCATCTCACAGCAAGTAAAACAGAGACCTGAGTAGGAAGGAGGATAGGAATTGAGTGCAGAAGGAGGAAAATATTCCAGGGAGGAGTGTGGTAGGGAAAGACAGAACCTCTCCAGTCATCCCCATGGAGGAAAGCAACTTTTTAGTGTCATAGGGCAGTAAATTTCCACGGTGCACTTAGTTCAAGTACTGGCTCAGTTTTCCTCTGAAGTCCTATGCTTGAAAACTAGAAGTTTTTACAAGAATTGTAATGTTCTTATGAATTTTTGAGGTTAAATAGATAATTGAATATGTCTGTTATTAACAAACCAATGTATTATGCTAATATGTTATTGTCAGCTAAGGATTCTGGGAAATCATGGGAATATGTGTAGCTATTGGAGGCTATTTCTTATAGGATGTCAAGCCTAGAGCAGTCTGAGCAATAAAAAAAGAAGATTTCTTATAGGTATTTTAAAAATTACTTGATTTGAAAATAAATTAATGTGGTTATGATAATAAGGATGGAAATGTGTTTACCTTGAAAATCTGAACATGGCCTTTCTTCCTGTGCTTGTGCAGTGGCCCTGGGTTGCTGGGTTGATTCTGAAATGCCAATAGAGCTGGCATTGACGGTTGTTTAACTCTACTTATTTGTAGAACAGCTTGAGCATCTCTAGTCCAAACATCTAAAATCTTCCATGCTCCAGAATTTGAAGTTTTTGGGCACCAACTTGATGTCAAAACTAGAAAATTCAATGCCTTACCTCACGTAATGAGTTACAGTTAAAAGACAGGTGCACTGCAATATTTTAAAAAAATTGTATAAAATTACTTTCAAGCTATATGTATAAGGTGTATGTGAAACATAAATGAATTTCCTGTTTAGATTTGGTTCTCATCCATAAGATATTGTATATACGCAAATATTTCAAAACTTCTCCCCAAATCCAAAATTTGAACACTTCTGATCCCAAGCATTTTTGGGTAAGTAATACTCAACCTGTTTTTGCTGTTACTCTCTTTTTGAGGCTAAGATGGGCAGTGCTCAAGAAGGGGCTGGCACTGTGGTGTAGCAGGTAAAGCCACCCCCTCCAACATCAGCATCCCATGTGCGCATTTGTTCAAGTCCAGGATACTCTACTTCAGATCCAGCTCTCTGCTAAAGCACATGGGAAGGCAGCAGAAGATGATCCAAGCACTTGGGCTCCTGGCTCCTGGCTTCGGATCAGCCCAGCCATAGCCATTGTGGCCATTTAGGGAATGAACCAGTGGATGGAAGATTTCTCTGTCTCTCTCCCTCTGTCTCTCCTTCTTTCTGTAATTCTACCTTTCAAATAAATAATTTTTTAAAGTGCTCAAGAAAACTGTACACTGCCTTGTACCAAGGAGCTGGGTAGAATTGAGGCAATTTGCAGACCTGTTAAACTCTAAGGAATAAGTTCTTATCTGGCAGGTTTTGCGTGTTTATATATTTAGGCCTAGTCAAGACTGAAAAAAAAGCAATAAAATAGTATTTCCTGTAATGGAGGAAAGATACCATGTTGTCACATAAATGGTGCCGAATGGTACTTGAAGGTAACAACAGTGTGTTGGAAGAGTTTTGGAGATGAGACAGTGGCTGAAGTCCATGTATTAGCTTAGATAGAAAACTGTCTACCGAATGGTAGAGGAGCTGGTGATAGCCCACTGCATTGTCTGCTTACTTGGTCTTCCATTAATTGAATAAAAATATGTGTAAAACACAGACTGTGACATTGGTATTCAGTAATGATGAGTTCATTTTTCAATTTTTATTCTATTTCTTTCTGATTTTGTATTCCTTTTATTGTTGCATTTATAGTCGGTTTTCTATTGTGTGCCTGCAGAAATAATGCAAAACAGCAGATACATACAAATATTTGGCAGCTAAATAAGTGGAAGTTTACTTTGTGAATCTCAGTTAATAAGGTTTTTCTCCTCATTTGTGGAGATGAGACTCATGGCAACAAACTGGTAATACATGCTTTGGTTTTTTAAGACTGTATCTCATATTTTAGCTAAAATTAATGTTCAAGTCATCTTAAAAGTTTACTTCATTATAAATTAATTTATATTGAAAGTGTATCATGATGTACTCTTTTTACAAATATTATTTAGCAGTAACTATTCAGGTTAAGTATACACATAAACTTAATGAGAAAGGGATTCTATTTGTTCTTATGTATCCAAGAGAGTTTGTAGTCACTGAAAGACATGTATAATAAAGTTTATATCAATAGCATCCCAGAGCCTGACTAAATGTTCACTTGTAGAAAAGTGAATAAATACATACAATTTGCTATGTATCAGTCAAATATATGCTGAGCAAAATATGTCAGATACAAGGACATACTATATGACTTATTTTATTGGAGTTCAACTTCAGCTAAATGAGTCTGTGAAGATAGAAACCAGTTGGGGTCACTGATTGTTTAGTGGGAGAAGTGTAACAGATTGAGAAGGGGTATGTGGGAGTATTTTGATTTTATTTAGTTAATTTTCTAAAGCTTGATTTAAATGAAGGGTCACATAAGTTTATAAAAATAATCCTTCAGCTATATAATAAAATGGTATTCTCTATGTATGTTAGACATCAAAATGTATGATTTTTACTAATCTTTAAAAGGATAAGTGATACCAAATACTTTTTTTGTTTGTTTGTTTGCTAAGGCAAGGCAATGATACTAATTTTTCAGTCTCAACAGATGTTTAATTTTGGCTTCCATCTTCATTCTATGCCCCCCCCCCCCACCATGGTAAAATGAGCTCTTACTATGTTTGATTTTGATCCTGAAATCTGTTTTACTTTCTAGAATGGTTTTAATTGAGCAATTGATACTGTTGTTCATATTCTTGTTGTTTTATTTACATGGAAGATTTAATAGGAATAAACAATACATTGAAAGAAGTTTTATATTAGACTGGCACAATTAAATTTAGATTTATAATACAGTTGCCCTCTCTACCCCAGAGACACCAAAATCTGGATACTTGTGTCCTTGTGTGAGCATTAAGTGGCATAGAATCTGCATATAACCTACACAACCATTTTGTGTATTTTAAATCTTCTTTAGAATACTTTTAACACCTAAAATGACATCATTCTTTAAATAGTTGTTATGCTATATTGTTTAGGGAATAATGACAAGAAAAAATGTTTGTACATATTCAATACAGCAGGTTTTTTTCCTGAATATTTTTGATATGAAGTGGAATTTATGAACATGGAGGGCCAACTATAACAAAACTAAAGAGCGGTTATCAATGAAAATTTATGGTAAAGCTCATAAAATGTTGTGAATGTTTAGTTCTTTTGTGTGAATGGCTAATCCAAGTTTCCTATTATACAATGGCTAACAAATTAGACTATGTCTATCAAAGGGCCTTTGGTTGTATATGAGTGCAATGGACTTGCTCTTTCCAGATTTCCTAAGAAGCCAGAATTAACTCTTATCTCCTCTTTGCCTCTTATTTTGACAGGCTGCCCTGCAAGTCGGGGGCCATGGGGAGAGACTGCACCAGTGTCGAGAGGTCATGCTGCTCACTTACAAGTCCATCCCCATGCAAGTAGATGGGGAGCCCTGCAGATTGGCCCCAGCTATGATTCGGATCTCCTTGCGGAATCAGGCCAACATGGTACAGAAGAGCAAGAGGAGAACATCCATGCCTTTACTGAATGAGTGAGTCTGCTCCTTGCCTACTGGTTAACTGGAAGACCTTGGAGAGGAAGGCACAGCGCATGTGCATGGTCTGGGGACCTCACTGGTTTGGGAAGGGTAGAAGAGTCCAGGAAACTCAGAAGCTCCTGAGTCTCTCTCAGGAAAATGCATATACATATATATTTGTTCCATATTTGTTGAGGTTAGCATACCCTTCTTTTGGAAATTATTAATTTATGAAAGATAGATGATTCTTCTTCACTAATGGCTTGGGTATATATAATATATAGTTGATATAATTATTATTAACAGTGATTCTAGGGTGATAAACTGTGCTCTCTTTTGTTTCAGGGTAGGGAAGTATGTAGTTAGTCCGTCCTCTACTCAGGCCATTTGGGGAACTGTTGGTTTCTCCAACAGTAGGACGTTGGCTGATTTAGTTTGTTGCTCTCTTCTATCCACAATGCATACAGGTTTCCTTGCTAGCAGATTGCCTCTATCCTGAGCACCTGTTTTGATGCCACGTGTACTTGGTTGCTTCCATTTAGTTTTATTTATTTATTTATTTGACAGCTAGAGTTATAGACAGTGAGAGAGACAGAGAGAAAAGTATTCCTTCTGTTGGTTCAGCCCCCAAATGGCCGCTATGGCTGGTGCTGTGCAGATCTGAAGCCGGGAGCCGGGTGCTTCCTCCTGGTCTCCCATGTGGGTGCAGGGCCCAAGTACTTGGGCCATCCTCCACTGCCCTCCTGGCCCACAGCAGAAAGCTGGACTGGAAGAAGAGCAGCCGGGACTAGAACCCGGCACCCATATGGGATGCCGACGATGCAGGAGGAGGACTAACCCAGTGAGCTATGGCTCTGGCCCCTCCATTTAGTTTTGTCTTTCTGGATAGCACCCTGTAGCCTAAAATAATCTGATTCACTTTTTTTTTTTTTTTTTTTTTTTTTTACTCCCACACATGTGGTATCTTTCCTAGACTCTGCTTCCTTAGTTGTTTTAACAAATGACCAGATCTTTGAAATACTATTCATTTTATAGTTGGCCTTGTTTCAATTAGTGATTTAAATGTCTCTTTCGGGTTGGAGAAAGAAGAGAACATTTAAAATTGTGTTTTTTTTTTTTTTTTTTTTTTTGACAGGCAGAGTGGACAGTGAGAGGAGACAGACAGAGAGAAAGGTCTTCCTTTTGCCGTTGGTTCATCCTCCAATGGCCGCCGCGGCCGGTGCGCTGTGGCCAGAGCACCGCACTGATCCGATGGCAGGAGCCAGGTACTTATCCTGGCCTCCCATGAGGGTGCAGGGCCCAAGCACTTGGGCCATCCTCCACTGCACTCCCTGGCCACAGCAGAGAGCTAGCCTGGAAGAGGGGCAACTGGGACAGAATCCGGCGCCCTGACCAGGACTAGAACCCGGTGTGCTGGCTCCGCTAGGCGGAGGATTAGCCTAGTGAGCCGCGGTGCTGGCCTAAAATTAGTTTTAGTGTCTTCTCCATTTGGTGCCTATGTGCCTAAGGCTGTTTCAGGGCTTCAGCTTGGGTCTTTCCCTGTCACAGTGAGGGACCCTCCAATGTGCTCTCCTGTTTGTGGCTCCTGTACATGGTTAACAACTTGTACTGAATGGCTGCCTTCCTGTAGTGCCTGCAAAGCAAGGGCATGCCTTGCCATGTAGTTATTGATTCAAATTGTCTACAAAAGTACCTAGAATAGCCAACAGGTGGCAGAGCTCACAGCCAAACCTAACTTCACCTTTCTGCTGTGGCCTGTGTCAAAGAATGGCACTAGATGGTGCTCTCCAAGTGTTTCATTCATCAGCATCTTCTACATCTGATGCTGGGGGAGAGATCCTCTCCATCTTCCTCTTCCTCATCTCCCAGAGTCTGGGCTTCACAGAACTTTCCCTAGATCATTTTGTGCAGGTCTTGCTGAGTTACTTCTCTTTCTTTGCTTATGTTTGGCAGCTAAAGAAGCTCTTAGGTATTTCTTGATGTTGTCTGACTACCCAGTCCTTAGCTTCCATTAAGTCGCATAGGCAATTGTTGGATTTATACAGTAAAAAATAATGAGATATCAGAAGTTATATATGGGTTGCGAGGTTCCCTCTAGAAATTGAGTTGAGCCATGAACCAATGGCTTGGCAGAAATCTATGAACTGATACGTGAAAAGTCATCTCTGAAACAGTTTTTAGCCTTTGTTGTTGGGTCACTTGTAGATTGTTAAGAATCTAGAAAAACTGAAAGTTTTTTACCATCTCTAGTAAAAGAGCTCACAGTCTCATGGTGATATTTCTATATTTAATAACTCTCAGACATGAAGTTGTTTTCAGATATTGAGTTTCAAACAGCTCTTACCCTTGTGCTGAAAAATAATTTGTGTTTTCTCAGTAACCATATTGTTTAGAATTTGCTTTGGATAAACAAGAATTCACTTAGGCTTCCTTTCATATAAAAATATAGTTGTGTTCTTTTTGTATTGATGGCATGTATGATATATGCTGTCATTTCATGTACTCAACTGTGCAGGTATTGAAGTAGCAACTCAGAAATGCAGTTATTTAACTTCCCACAAGGGGACAGCAGCACCCCCGTGAAAGCAGCCCCAGGCTAAATGAAAGACCTATGTGAAATAGGAATAACAGTATGCTTTTTTATTTTTAAACAGAACATTTATAAAAATTAAACAATAGCGAAAGTTTTATGAGTACTTGTGAGAATTATCATTCAACACCGTGTTTTTACAAAGCAAGATCTAGAAAGTATGTTAGAAGAAAGCAAAAATCTAGTTACCATGTAATAGGAGTGCTTGCTCCCTAAACCTTAATTTCTCTCACTCTGATCTTTTTCACCCTCTGGGATTATATTGTTTATTTCTATTTCACCAGAAATACTTGTTTTGAAATCATACTATCGCACTGGGTATCCAAGAAGAGTTTCAAATTTAAGGTCAACCCTGCCTTAAAACTCTTCTTATAAGGTTTCTTCAACCTTTGCAGTCCTCCAAGCTTCTCTTTGCAATGGCCATCATTCTGTGAAGTCTGTGATTCCCTCCACAGAGGGAGAAATAGCTGAGAGACCTTTCTCCTAGCCTTCTTTTCTTCCTGCCTTTTGTTCTCTTTGTTCCCTTTTCCCCTCCTTAGTTTTTTCACCAAGGCAGCTTTTTTAAAATTTTGTTTACTTTTCTTTATTACTTTTAAAGAAGAACAAAAACAGGGTTTGAAATGTTTTTAGAACTTCAGCTTAGAAATCTGTGTGTTCGGCCGGCGCCGCGGCTCACTAGGCTAATCTTCCGCCTGTGGCACCGGCACACCAGGTTCTAGTCCCAGTCGGGGCACCGGATTCTGTCCCGGTTGCCCCTCTTCCAGGCCAGCTCTCTGCTGTGGCCAGGGAGTGCAGTGGAGGATGGCCCAGGTGCTTGGGCCCTGCACCCCATGGGAGACCAGGAAAAGCACCTGGCTCCTGGCTTCAGATCAGCGCCATGTGCTGGCTGCAGTGCGCCGGCCACAGCGGCCATTGGAGGGTGAACCAACGGCAAAAGGAAGACCTTTCTCTCTCTCTCTCTCTCTCTCTCACTATCCACTCTGGCCTGTCGAAAAAAATATAAATTAAATATAGAAGAAAAAGAAAAGAAAAGAAAGAATTTGTGTGTGTGTGTGTGTGTGTGTGTATTTTCCCAATAAGAAGAGGGTAGCTGTTCGCTTCATCTTCAGCAGTCAGGCTCCTTTCATACAGTGCGTTGACCATGAATATTGGAAATCTGAGGGCTCCCTGAACAACTGCTTCCTTTCCACTTGAATGTCAGTGTTCCTTATTGATCTGCCCTTTCTCTGGGAGACTGCATCTCAGATCTGTGTCTTTAGCCTGGGATTTCTTCTAAAAATCGAGGACTAGTACCCAATTATCTTAGTTCACATCTTTGCCTTAATATCTCGTATTGACATCAAACTATATGCTTTAGACTAGGCTCATTAACTGTATTCCTTTTGCTTTTTACCACCATCCAGTAAGCCCCTCCATTCATACTGTATGAATGGACGACCATCCACTCTCATCCCAGGCCCCTGGCCCTTAGAGTCATCTAAGTCTCCTCCAGTCTTGTACACTCAACAAACTAACTGCTGCATTCTTTGAAACACACTTTCTTTTTATTTCTCAGATCTTTAGCTCTCACACCATCCATCTTGTCTACCAGTAAAGCAGCCTTAGTTCAAAGGCCACATGCATTATCTCTCAACAGCATTGCTGAAATGCTTGGGATTCATCTCACACAATACTGCACTCACACAGTGTGTCTCCTCCAATACAGTAGCTGGAAGATCTTTCGAGATCATTTTGATCACTGCCTTCTTCATCCGTATCTTCCTGTATTCCTGAGATGATTGCTATTCTTGGAGGAATAGTCTGGCTCCTACGTTATCATGTCTTTGCACTTGATTGCTCTTCTTCTAGGACCCTCCTCACCTCCTGTGCATCTTCTCTCATTCACAGTACAAAATGCCACTGAAATATATCTATTTTTCTAAGAAACCTCTTCTATCTAGTTCTAGCTATTGGATGCAACTCTCTGTGCTGTTCCAGTGTTCTTGCTTTCTACTGTAATAACATTTAAAAATATATTTGATACAGCAAGAGTGAGAAAGAAAGAGAAAATTATCTGCTGTTCACTCTTCAAATGCCTACAGAGGCTGGGGCTGGCTCAGGCTACACTTGGGAAACTGGGAATAAATGGGGTCTCGGTGTGATTGGCAGAGACAATACCACTTGAGTCACTACCTGCTGCACCTCTGGGGGTACATTAGCAGGAAGCTGGAATCAGGAGTGGGATCAAGACTCAAACCCAGGCATTCCAATAAGGGAGTTGGACATTCTAATTGATGGCTTAACCACTAGGCCAAATGCCCACTCCTCCATAGTAGCATTTATTGAAAACAGTAGAATCAATGATTTCCTTGTCTCTCTTCTTTGTACTGGGTGGAGGCTCTAGGGTTTTCCTTATGAGAACCCCAGTGCCTGCGAAACATGGTTTCATATTGAATCTATGACTCAATCATGAATCAGATTTATAATGCTGGCTCTGGTATGTTTCTCAGAAATTATTTTTAAAATAATGTAAATCTAAAATCTTGTGACTGTAACAACAATACTGAATCTATTTTGGCCACATTTTATTATAGATGGAAGGCACCTTTTTTAATAATTTCAAGATATGGTTCACATAGAAAGCTGGAAGGAATTTTTCATGAGAGAGCCTTCATGATGCCATTAGAACTTCATGTATGCAAAAAGAGAAGAATAATGTTTTCTAAAAACAAAATGTGTTGGCTTCTCATACAGTTTATATTACCAAATATAAATGAAAATGCCAGGCTTCCATGTGTCCACTAGCCCCCTACTACCTGTCCAGGAACATGTCCCATTCTCTCAGGGCATATGGCTCTACGTGAACATGAACTACAGAAAGTCTCTTCTCCCCCAAAAGTAATATGGATTTATCTGGGTTTGTACTCATATACTGGTAATATGATAGTCAGATACATTTGATTATGTTTTTTGTTTGGAAGACACCATTGAAGGAGGTCAGAAACTTAAAAATTATTCAGGTATTCCATGACGTCTTCCAGTAATTATTGTCCTTAGCTCACGAACAAAGAAGGCAATATCCTTGAAGATGATCTCCAGTTAGCAAACTTTGAATTGTGCAGCTGGGTTCCATCTTCCTGGGCTGCTGAGATGTATTATTGGCTGTAACTGAGGGTCCTTTGAGGATTACAAGGATAGAGAGAGCCCTGGGCTGGAACTCTCATGGGTGACTTTCTGTGAGGACTTCCCTTCACCACGAACACAGATGGAAGAGCCTTGTGTATGACAGACGCAGTGACTGTGTTTAAATGAGATCATGGAGAGAGTAATGATGTCAAATGACAGGACACTTTGGGTTTAGTTTCTGTAATTCTACCTTTTGTCTCTTTTGGTAGCCAGCATAGATGCTCTCTATCACAAAAGAAGGGGGAAAAGGGAGAAATCTATGGTGTGTGTGGAATTACAGCGACACAGCCCTGCAGTTAGGACTTTCCTGGTAATACCTGTGGAGTTCTTACAAGGCCTTTGTTTACCTTCAGGAAGTTAAAGTATTCTTGAATCATTCTTTTCAAGATGGCTGTGCTTGAATGCAAGCATTTCTAAAAGCCCCGGGGAATGGTGAAGGCTAGGGAGAAAAAAATACATTGACCTTTAATCTCAAGAAGGAGTTGCTGTGCCTGTGTCCTGCTTGCTCCTGTGTCAGCGTGTGCCTCTCCGTGGGTCACAGGGTGAACTGAGCAAGGGCAGCCATGATGGTCCCGCTGGCCCCAGTAGCAGCCTGCCCTTCTGCCTTGGCCCCTCGCTCAGCTCCCGCCTACGGCTTGCCTGGAACCAGCCCCTTCCTCGTGTCCTGTTGGCCTCATCGCTATCGCTGGTGTTTTGGATTGTTTCTGTGGCTGGCTTGATTTTCCTTCTCCTTTCCTGCCTTGTTGGGTGACATGCGCGTTTAAGTTCTGTTTAAACTTTGTGTGTCTCTCTTTCTCTCCCCGGCTTGGTCCTTGTCTGTCCACGCTGTCGTGCTGACTGTGTCTTCGCTGCTCATTCCCTGCTGCCTCTAGCATCCACCAGGTGCAAACTGCGGACCTGCGGCGAGTGTCTGCTCCCCCCGGCTCCTTCACCATGTGAGTACCGTGCTGTTCATTTTTACATCTTGTCCCCGGCCACTGCTCTGCCACAGTTTAGACTGTTTGCGTCCTCTTACTCTGCGGGTTGGTCTGCTGCTCAGATAAGGGAGCTGCCCAACCAAACTGCTCTCTTGTCCCTTTCTTTGGTTTGAAATGAGCTGTGAAAGCCCTTCTGTCCAATATGTCTCCATCCTCTAAGGGTTAGCAGTCCCAAGTGTTTGCCTACAAACTTCAGGGTCCAGGGTTTCATGGGGTTATATAAAATTTAGTACTAGGTATTGCTTTTTATAGAATGTTGATGATACCATTAGATCGTGTCATCTCCTGTGGCCCAGGGGAGAGTTTAGGATGTGGTTGCAGCCTTTGCTTTGTGCAGGGGCCCCTACAATCATGAGTAGCATTTTGAGTCTGCACCTGCCTGTTTCTGGGGTAAGAACCTATTATGTAAAAAAAAAAAATTAATGAGCCCAAACTGTCATGGAGTTAGTGAAAAGTATTTTTATACATTTTAGCAGTAGGTGCTTCTAATGCACTCTAAACTATTATTTTTTTTTCTGGTGGTAACAAATAAAAAGAAAAAATATTTCTTAACAATTTGTTTCAGTTTTATTTTGTGCTGTTGCCTGTCTTGCCCTTTCTTTTCTCCATGTACCTGTTTCTAGCACTTATTATGTTTCTGGTACTTTTACAGGTGCTAACCATAGTACTTTAGTTTCCCAACAACTTTATGGTATCATTATCTCCTTTTTATGCATGAAGAAGCTGATAGAGAGGTTAAGTGACACACCCAAGGTAGTACAGCTAAGTCAGTCAGAGACTCAAATGTAGCCAGTCCAGCTTCAGAGGTCATGACTTTGATGTGTTATCTGCCACTTCCAACTCTCAGGATCCTATGTGTGTCTCAAAGCCCAGTAGCATGATTTGCTTTTCACAGAGTTCTTCCTTGATTCTTGTTGTCAGAATTCATTATGCTGTCACTGGAGCTCATTATTGATGTTTCTGTTAAAATTCTTGAAGTTTAATTCGGTGTTAAATTTCTTGACGCTGTTTCTGTGTATGTCCCTCATGGTCCTTACGCTATTTGAAACAATTTGCAATATTGTCTTATGAATCTTCCTGTTCCAAGTCTTCTTCACAGATGCTGGCACAAATGTCTGAAATCAAACATGGCTGGGTGCTTACTTGAGAAAATGAATAAAAGAATGCCTGTTTAAGTAGAACTGTATAATACCTAACATCCATGGATATGACAAAATAATTGCTAAGGCCCACATATATCATCTTAATTTCTAATCTAGTGTTATAGATTCTCATTTACTTATTCATTTATTAAAACTATGTGTTTATTGAAAACTATTTATTTTGTATTTGCTCAGTGTCAGACTTCATGATGTCTATCTAGTGGTGTGTACAACAGAGTACTTCCATTGTAGAGCTTGAAATTGAGCATAGAATGACATTTGATTTCCAATTTGGAGATTATTGTGGGGGCAAATTCTCCTCTCTGTATGGGTCAGTTCAGTAAGTTTGAGTTTAAGGAGTGGCTCTCAGTGATCGTTATTTTATGTTCACAGCAGTAATGCTTTGATAGTATTGTATTTCTATCACTAGCTAAGTTTTGGTTGCATTTATGTTTCAATTGTGTGTCTTCAATGGGGCTCTTTATTTCTTAGGGCAGGAGCGTATGTGCTCCAGTAAGGAAAATTATTATATTTATTTCCGTAGGATGTAGCAGCCACCAAGTTGTAGCTACTATAGAACTTGACTGTTAATCTGAAATGATTACATATCTCTATATCATCTCTATTAAATATATGGTATATATTTTACTGAGTCACAGTATTATTTAAAAAATCAGATGGCAACAAGGAATGTGGAGAAAGGTCCAAGCATAGCAGTATGTGTTTGTCTTATATTATGGCAGTGATGACTTAGTTTTTTGATCAGTTCTCCAGCGTTACATGCTATTTTCAGCAATTTAAAAAATCATGTTAACATTGCCCTGGTCCTTATGCAAGTCAGTGCCCCAGTGTCCTGAACTGGGATCATCTGAGGTTTTTGGCTCTCGGGTCAGCCATTCACTGCCTAGAACACCTCTGTTAAACAGATCTTTTCTTTGGAAGAGCCTTTTTCTACTACTCCTGAAGCGACTTGAAAAGTAATCCTTCTATCCTTTCAGCTCTTTCTCTCTCTCTCTCTTTCTTCCTTTCTTTCTTTTTCTCTCTCTTTCTCTCTCTCTCTTTCTTTCAAGATTATTTATTTGAAAGGCAGAGTTAAAGAGGGAGAGGGAGAGAGAGAGAGAGGAGAGAGAGAAAGATAGAGTTCTTCAATCTGTGGGTTGAGTCTGCAATGACTAGGGTGAACCAGGAGCTTGGACTCCATGTGGGTCTCTCTTGTGGGTGCAGGAGTCCAGCTACTTGAGCTGTCTTCTGATGCTTTACTAGGCAACTGAATAAAAAATGGAGCACTGGGGCTTGAACTGGCACTGGTATGGGATGCTGGCATCGCGGGTGGTAGTTTAACCCACTGTGCCACAGTGCCAGCCCCTCCCTCCAATTTTCTGATGACTTTTTTAGAGATGGGAGTGAGCGCTGGAGATAATGCAATGAATGGATTGTTAGGATTTGCATCATATTCATATCTGTGTGCCTACAACATTTTGGCTTTCTGAAAAGAATTCCCAATTTTTGTTTTTTGATCAAGCTTGACCACATTTATGATTTGATGAATTTTAAGAAAGGTATTCAGCAACCTCATCTAATAGGAAAAATATATAATATTTCTCCCCATGGCCTATATTATTGTTGCTTTGTGAATTAACATTTTTAAAGGTTTATTTTATTTATTTGAAAGGCAGAGTTACAGAGAGGCAGACAGAGAGAGAGAGAGAGAGAGAGAGAGAGAGAGTCTTCCATCCACTGATTCACTCCCCAAATGGCTGCAACAGCTGGATCTGTGCTTATCTGAAGCCAGGAGCCAGTAGCTTCTTTCAGGTCTCCCTCGTGGGTACAGAAGCCCAAGAACTTGGGCCATCTTCTGCTGCTTTCCCAGGCCATAGCAGAGAGCAGAATCAGCAGTGGAGCAGTCGGGACTCAAACAGTTGCCCATATGGAATGCCGGCACTGCAGGCTTTACCTGCTATGCCACAGTGCCAGTCCCTTAATGTGTTCTTGGGCCACCTTCCACTGCTTTGCAAGGTCATAAGTAGAGAGCTAGATCAGAAGAGGGGCAACTAGGATAGGAATTTGCACCTGAATGGGATGGTGGCGAGGCAGGTGGAGGCTTAATCTACTATGCCATAGCACTGGCGCCATCACAATTGGTTTTGTTTGTAATTCCATGTATCAGACATCTCTTACTATTTCCTTCCTTCTGTTTACTTTGGGTTTATTGCTTTTCTTTTTTTAATTTCTTAATGTGGAAGCTTCATGATTTATTTGTTTTCATAGCCGATTGACTCAGCTGAGTTCAGGCCACCAGTTCTGACTACCTGAGGGTTGTGGTCACAGTGTTATTTCCGTTCCCAAAGCCTTGCTGTACTCTCCATATCTGCCAGGCGTGTGTATCATTAAATTACCTGTATGGGAACTGAAAGGGGTCTAACCTGAATTTCAGTTCCTGAGTCTATTCTATAAAAACTAGACTGATGTATTAAAACTAGATGATGTCTTTGCAAGTTAGAGATCAACCCCTAAGAGTTTGTAAACATTTTTATGAAGTTATTTTGTGAAGTGCTCCATTTCTGCCATGGTTCCTTGATGCTTTCTGATTTTCTTGGGGAATCTCTTTTGCTCTTTCAGCCAGAAAGCTAAGGTTTTAGTTCTCTCAGTCTGCTACATACTTCCTGCTCCTGTACTTGCATCCAGGGGCAAGCAATGATATGACTGACAGAGAAAAATAAGTGATAGTGGTTGGTACCACCTTCCTGACATCATAACTCAGAGATGTGATCAGGCCTCCTTCCTTTGTAATTTTGGGTGCCCAGAGGCCTCTGTCACGATTGCTATATCTGCTGTTAGTGTAGCAAAATGGCCTGAGTGCCAGCTTATTAGAAAATGGAAGATAAAAAACAAAAGCCAAAAGGCAGGTTCCTCCCAATTTCTCTCAGCGCTCTAAGTTTCTTTTCCTCAAGCCAGCTCCTGAGCTCGCTCTCTGATCAGATCTGGGGTCTACTGTCTGGCTTTGTGCTGCCTGGAACCCAAGCCAGTGTTCATTAGAGAGAAGCAGGGAAGGGAGGGGTCAGGTCCTCAGCACCAGTGTGATGGCTCTAATTCTGGTCTCCTTCTCCAATCTGCTGCAAATTACGTTACTTTTGAGCGTTCTCAAATAGCTGCTTTGTGAGCTCTGTCCAGGGTCTGTAGCTGCATTCAGTGGGAGGGAAAGAATGACGCATGCTGACCCACCTCACCCACATCTAAAACTCTCGTAGAGCAGAGAACTGTGGTCCCTACTGCAGCTACCCACCGAGGGGAAAAGCTATGCTCAGCCAAGCTATTCGGCAAAGCGACCATGTGTTTCTGAAGTACCACCAACATATGTTGAATGTAATATACCATCTTGCACAGCAGTTGCAGTTGGAACATAAACAAGATGTGTTCCAATGCTAAATTGTGTGTGGGTTTGCTTGTAACCTTGGGGAAGTCAGAGCTAGACATGGATCTTTGAAAAAAGTCTGAACATGATAATCTGACCACAGCTGAATATGATTTCACATTAAAAAGAAACTGCTTGGTAAATTGATTTTCATTCCAAGATGAAAGGGAGTTTTACAGAGAAAGGAAACATTTTTCATTTTCCAGTTTTTAAAAACTGGGAATTTGGGAATTCTATTGTTGAGAAACTTCTAAGACAGAACCAGCAACCTTCAGTCTTCACGATGGAAGAAAACTGGAACTGGTCATCGTGGTTTCATGTTGCCATGAACGTCCTTCACTAGTGGATCCTTGAAAGTGCTGCCTAAGCTTCTGCGATTCTCCTCTCCAGCTATTCACGTCTAA